GACATATGATCTAAGGCACCAAAATCAATAATCCAAGGCAAAGACTTATGAGAAAGGAAAACACAAGGAGAAGAGGCTAAGTTACCTGAGCGAGTAAACGACAAGGAAGCTGTATTGAGAGCAGTAGAAGACCGGCGGTCCAACAAGTGGGGCAGAACATTTTCAAGCTCATGAGTAGTCATGCTAGAGAGACCATCAGAAGCCTGACCAACGAAAGCGGAAGTAGAATCAAATGTATCAACGGCACTAGACTGATAAGCCCGTGGATGAGAGCCACGTCCTCGAGACTGGCCTGACTGACCTCCTCTAGAGCCAGACCAATCACCTCGACCCCCGGATGGAGTCCCATGAAGCTTCCAACATGTCTCGTGAGTATGTCGCGGCTTGCGACAGTAATCACAGAATACAAACTCCTTAGCAACAGACAGAGGAATGGGAGTTAGGTTGAGGCCATCTCTAGGGGTAGACAGTAATGCAGAGCGGTCAGTAGAGACAGGTGACATTATAGCAGATCGGCACCTCTCTTCATTCTATACATAGGTGAATGCCTCCTGAAGTGAAGGAAGAGTGTCCATACCCAGAACCCGACTCCGAACCAGATCATACTCCACATTGAGACCGGCCAGAAACTTGAAGACCCTTTCCTGTGCAATAAACTTCCTGTACCCGACTGAATCAGTAGTGCAAACAGGCTTATAGTCCTGCAGATGATCAAGACGTTTGCAGCCGTTGGTGAGGAAGGAAAAGTACTATAGAATAGTCTGTTGCCCCTGAACAAAGCTCTCAATAGAGCGGCGCAACTCAAAGGCCTGTGAGAAATTCCCTTTGCAGGAATAAGTAGTAGCCACTGCCTCCCAAATATCTTGTGCAGTGTCTACAGATAGATAGCCCTCTCCAATCTCCAAGACCATAGAATGTATCAACCAACCCATAATTAGGGAGTTGGTGATCTCCCACTGATCATAACTCTGGTCTGTGGTGCTGGGTGTCTGTATCATGCCATCAACATACCCCATCTTTCCTTTGCTCTTCAAAAAAATAATCAAACTCTGCGACCACGCTAAATAGTTTTGATCATTGAATAGAGAGATGGTGATTTTAAGACTAGATTTGGGATTATCAGTCATAGTAGTAGGTATAATGGAACTCTCACTCTTAGGTGTCTGAGAAGGAGTGAACACACTGGTGGAATCTGCCATGGATACTATACTACCTAACCCTCAATAAAACTAGTGCCAATCACAAACCTGGAAGATGGTGGAGGAATAGTAAGCACAATGACCACTAAAAATGTGAAAGAATTAAACACGCATTAAATTTTTTTTTTTTATTTTATATTATTTAGAAACAGAATAGGAACTTGATAATTTTAGGTCACTACCACATCACAAAGTCAACGACAACAGCAGTTCAACCAAGCAGGGAGACGTCACAGCAGAGAGATGTCGAAGGAAGCCTGAGATTGCCTCGGGACTGTCGGCTGGGTCTGAGAGACTGCCAGTGGCAGTCGGCAAGGCGAGACGAGACTGCCCTAGTGCCTACAACAGTGATCGAAGGGTTTGACTTAGGCCAGAAGGCTTGTCGATAGTGATCGAAGGGTGCGACTTAGGCCAGTAGGCTTGTCGGTAGTGATCGAAGGGTTTGATTTAGGCCAAAAGGCCTGTTTGCGATGGTGATCGAAAGGACTAGGGTTGCCTCCGGCAGGTTCAACAGCTAACGGCTGGGCCAAGAAGCCCTTCGGCAGTAGCTGACTGAGCTAGAAAGGTGGTACCTCTGTGGTGGCTTTGTGGTGGCTGTGTGACGTATGGATTTAGGGTTGTGGCTCTGATACCATGATAATTTTAGAGAATACCAAGATTAGGGAATGATTGTGATATCATCCCCTTTTTATATAAATAAAGATTAATAATTACAAGGGAGCCATAAGCCATAGAATAATTATAATTGAATAATAACCCCAACTAATAATATACTATTCTAATATAAGCTTGGTTATTCAGGCTCGATTCGAGCTCGAGCAGACCTCGAATAAGGCAATACTTAGCTCGGCTCAGCTCATTTGCAATCCTATTGGAAAGGTATGCATGCTTATTGTCCAAATATCAACATCGCTGTTAAAGGCTTTTTTTTTTTTTTTTTTTTTTGGATAAAGAAAAGTTTTATTATTGAAAGAGTATCAAGATGATACCAACGAATACATCGGAAAAAGTCAAAACAAAACCCAAACCTAAACCCCAAGAGTATTTATAATCCACAAAAGCAAACAAATGTGAAGATAAAACTTCCGACACCCAACTAAACAAAATTATCAAAAGTTGAGCTTTCATTGTTAAGTTATTATTATTTGAAAATTGAGAGTTTGTCTTTGTTTACTTTGAAATATCTAAAAAAAGAAAAAAGTAATATGGTGATCTAAATCTAAATATTTTATATTTATAAGATATATTTAGCATCTAAGTGCATAGATATATTTTTGCTAAGTAATTTAAAAAAAGTGACCAAATCTTCAAATTCACAATTTGATGCGCGATTTGGTAAGGCCATTTCAATTCGCAATTCCTATCCCGATTTGACAACTATGATTAGGAATAATATCTAGATAGTAGAAATAGTTATATTGTAATATTATTATGGATAATATTTATTAATATCATAAAATACATCCTTTCATATTTTTCTCAAATAAATTGTAAAACATTCATAATAAATTCTAAGTTTGTGTTGATACAACTTACTGCCTTTGTAAATTGTGCTATGTTTTCATATGGTTCACTATTTTCCAGTGTGTTTCAAGGAAAACAATAGAATTTCATTATTTCACTAGTATTTCATTTGGTCTCGTAAGAAGCAAAAACATTTGGACATTTCAATGGAAACAAATGGAACTTTTAATGAGAAGAAAATGTGACTTGCTACCAAAAAAACAAATCCAAATATGCAGAGGTTAAATATAAAAACAAAAAAAGAAAGAAAGAAAGAAAGAAGGAAAGAATGGTGGTCATGCTTCATTAAGTGCAACTTCATCTTTTCATTGCATTTAAAGAAAATCAAATGCATATTCCCATGTCTAATATGGGCATAACAGATATTTTTTAAGAGAATTAGGACAATATTAGTAATATCTATACATGCATGTCTTTGACAGCTCAAATGACAGCTGGCCAAATATGGTAATAAAAGAGGTATCACTAATTTACCTAATAAAAAAAGAGGGGAAAACAAAAAGCAATTTAGAAGAGAAACCTGAATTCTCTCACTAGAGTTGGAGCAAAAGCAAACCTGCTCGGATAGAATTGCTTCAATTTATATGTGACCTCTCATTACATTTGAATACCAATTTTTTTTCCAAGGTAAGCAGTGCACGAATTGCCCGAATCTAAGTCAAAATTGTTGTTTTGTTTTATAAGATGAGAAAAGCTTGTGTGAGGAAGTAACATACAAAAGAAACTCATACAATTACAATAGATTTAATTCATTATTTTGTTGGTATTTTTTATTAGAAAACCTAGACCCCTCTCTCCCAAGAGCTGTTTCATAGTAGGAGACTCTATCTTCAATAGGAAAGCCCTTGATGGAAATAGACCCAAATTTTAATAGGCGCACAAATCATGTAAGGCCATTTTTAACCCAACATTAAAAAACAATAAAACTTGGCCCATATGATTATGAATTGGATCAGATCTCCATGCAACCATTTGACTACGGACCGGATCTCCATATGGACTGGGCCGAGCCTCAAATCACATTCTACGACCTAGTACCAAACATATAAGATTGAGGCTTAGAGTACTAAATTACGAATAATCTTTGAAGTGAGGGCAAGACAGTAACAAGGCCGAGCGGCCCAGCATCTTAGGGCCGATCTAAAATGGATTGAGTCCTCAGTGTGCTCGCTCGGCTGGCCCAGCTTCGACAGTGCTCCCTTAGATGTAACCTTACTTGTAGGCATACTTAGGTCAAGGAGGCATAAACTAAAGTGCCTGTGTGGACTGGCAAAGGTTCATCCATGGAGAAGTCCACATCAACAAAAGCTCTAGATATTTAGCGAGGTCAGAGCAGGATGGATCTTCAGTCACATAGGTTTCAAACTGCCCTCATGAAGGTAGGCCTAACGGAAAGGTGGTCCCCCCACGTTAGGCACGTCGATGATCTGAGCAAGGGGGCACATGAGGCAGTTAGCCTCATATACATCCTGGAGAGCGAGGAGAGAACATTGTAAAAGGTAAGCATTCGTCTTGTGAAACTCCCTAAACCCTAGCTCTTTGCATTCCTTTGTTCTTCATATCTCTTTCCAGAATCCTAACTTTAGCATTGGAGGAGCTTCTCCAGCCAAACTCTTCTATTACTGCAGAATTCAATCCCACACATTGAAAAAGGGACCCTAATAGTAGCATAAATCATCATTATGTGAAAACAATTACCAAATGATAGGATTAAATTATTAGTCATTCAGAGCCAACTTCCAAAATAAATCCAGAAAACTTTCAAAATAAATCCAGAAAACATTTACCAAATGAGATACCTTGGCATCCTATAAAAATCCTAACAGCTTGTCATGTTTCCAATAGCATTTTATTGCATAAGTTAGCAAGGCACCGCAAAGTAAACATCACAACCATAAACCACAAAGTAAAATCATTCCACCCTCATCAGAAAATTTCAATGACTACTGTCTGACCCACAATATCAAGCAAACATGTGAGGCCCACAAATACAACTCCAAAAAAAAAAAAAATGTAGGAAAATTGCAAACCATTTACAACCCAACCCATAATTACCCACCTCAATTCAATATCTTTAAACCAAATTGCAAACCATTTACAACCCAACCCAACCCAACCCATAATTACCCACCTCAGTTCAATATCTTGAAACCAAATTGCAAACCATTTACAACTCAATCAATAATTACCCAACTCAATTCAATATATGTCAACAAAGTTTTTGCTTACATATATATAGGTAAATGGAAAAATGATGAGAATTGTGAGTTGGGAAACCTGTAGGATAGGGTTAGGTCGATCGCAGCAGTAGTACTCGACGGAAAGAAGCGCATCAGTGCCTCTAGAGCCACAGATCACCCCAACAATTCGTCTGAAGAAACAGAGAATAATTGATATCAATCTTGAAGTAGATACATAGGAGTGTGTGTGAGATAGTAGTATTATATAGTGATGAATAAAATACCGGAAATAATCGTAGGCACCGAAGGTGAGGAAGTAATGAATGCGTTCGATGAAAGTGCCTCGAAAGATTGGCCATTGGCCGCACAGGAATGAAACAACCACCAACAGTGTCACCAGGCCGTGGCACACCAGAATCCACTGTACGCTCATCACCATAGAAAGAGAAGCTCTGAAACCGAAATTGCAGCGTCTTGACTGGTTGGGTCAACTCAATCTAAATTTTTATGATTTTGTGGAATGTATCTTTGAAGAGCAATGGTACATTCCCCAATTTTTTCCTACCAAATTCCTTTTAATGATTTGGCAAATAAGATAATGTTTGCTCTCCAAATTGGTTAATATTATTTGCCACATCTTTAATTTCAATTTTTTGAATTCATTTTTTAAAATGTTAAAAATTTTATTTTTTATATTTTTTTTTGTTCTTATTAAATTCTTTTAATATTTTTAGTAATTTTTTTAATTTTTAAATACACTAAACATAAATGTACTTAAAAAGTACGATATTTGTGAAAATATTTTTTTTATAAATATTTTACTTTTTAAATGTATTTAAGTAAGGTATATCTAAAAAAAATTACTTAAAATTTTAAAAATATTCACTAAAAACAAAAATATACAAAAAATAAAAACTCAATTTTTAAAAAATTACATCCAAAAAATTAAATCAAACACAGTGAATATTATTTATCACATCATCGACAAAAGTTTAAAAGGGAAAATTGGAGAAAAGGGCATTTTTCATTTTTGAATTTGATATGAATTTAAACATAAATTTGAGAGCGTCAGATTACATTTAGATTTGGTTTAGGGAGAGACATTGGACAATCCAAAACACGATTTGTATTTCGTATATAAGATTTTGTTTGATTAACAAGATTAATTGTAAATTAATTAATAATCCATAAAATAATGTAGAATTGGTTATACAATTAGATTAGTAAAATAAATAAACTCTATTTTGGGGGTGTTTGGAAATAAGTTTTTTTAGCTTTTTTGGCTAAAATAGCATTAAAAGACAAAATAAGTTAAAATAACTAATAAGATAAAATGTCACATTAAACTCATAATTATTTTACTTTTTCTCTCACAAACATCACATCCAACTATAAAAAAAATCAATCATCTTTCCAAATACAAAAATTTTAGCCTACTAAAATAGCCAAAAACTAAAATAATCTACTAAAATAGCAACTTTCCAAATACCCACTTTGTCTATGTTTGTTTTGCAATAGAAATGTAAATATATAATCTTAATTATATGTTTATTTTGTATTATTAATTGTAAGATTAAAAAAATTGCTACTTTTATTGGATAGAATGTCGATTGGAATCTAATCTCAATAACAAAAATTGGAACAAAAAACACTAAAATGTAAATCTCATGAATTAATAATTCCAACCTTATGATGTCATCCGCCTAATCAAACAGGGCCTAAAAGTGTTAAATATATATTTGTACATATGTTCGCACACGCTAAAATTTGATTACACAACCAACAAGATGTAAGAAAATTACTTCTTCTGGGATATCTAGGAATAAAACCAATCACCCGAGATGAAAGTGAAACTAGTTTCTATGGGTATGTTCTTCAACCAAATAGGATTCACTAGTTTGGCTCGTGTTAACCTTGTTGGTCGGAGTGGAGGGAATTTGGATGCTTTGTAATCCAAACACTGTCAACGTTAGAGTAACTGAAGCAAGCTCACAATTAATCACGACAAAGATTGCCAAACAAGAGTACCCTGAGTGGCTTCTTACAACAGTATATGCAAGCCCTATTAGCAATAAGAGGGATATGAACCTCTGAGTCATGTATGATAGTTGGAGATTTTTTTTTTTTAAAAAAAAAAAAAAAGTCTTACAGGTAACCTAAGCCAACATAGTAGTCAAGATTAGAGGAGAACCATAATATTTTCAAATAGGATGAACTGATGCAAGCTTATGGACTTGCGGTGTTCCGGTCTGCGACTAACTTAGACAAATAGCAGACAATGATGGGCTAACATAATGGTAAGGCTGGACAGAGCCATGTGCAATAGTGAGTGGAGAACTAGCTTCCCCAAAGGACTGCTTAGAAATCTTCCAATAACTTATTTTGATCACTCCCCAATGATAATATTTATCCAAGGTAAGTCTCCTTACAACCCTTCTTGTAAACTTTTCAAATTTAAGGCTGCTTGGATCTCACATAAAGCATTACAAACAATGGTGGAGGAAAATTGGTCTAGTAACCAAGATTCTTTGTTGACCAATTTAGATAAACTAGCTCACAAGGCTAGTATTTGGAATAAAGAGGTGTTTGGCAACATTTTTGGAAAGAGAAGATGGTTACTTGGAAGGATTGAAGGAATCTAGAAATCCCAAACAAATATATATTCCCATAACCTTCATGTGTTGGAAATGGATATTATTGAACAATACAATAAAGTTCTTTATCAAGAAGAACTTCGCTGGTTCCAGAAATCTAGATCCAAGTGAATCACTTAGGGAGACAGAAACACCAAATTTTTTCATCTTACCACCTTAACTAAAAGGAAGAAAAGGGAGATTGATGTTCTGAAATGTGAGAATGGTGTTTGGATGATAATTCTGAATAGCTTAAGATGATTGTGCTAAACTATTTCACTAATATTTTTGCTCATAACTCTACCATCTTTTTGAATCATTGGAATAACCTCGCTACTTGTATAGTTAGCAGTGATGAAAATAGTGATCTTATGAATGCTGTGACTAATGAGGAAGTTTAGAGGGTGGTGAAGAACATTAAGGCTTTCAAAGCCCTATGCAGTGATGGATTCCAAGCCATATTCTATCAGGGTATGTTTGATTGAACGGACTGGATAAGGGGGGATTAAAATCCATCGGACTTGAATCCTGGGACTGTAAATCCCCCGAACTATTTGGTTGAATTTGATATGTATCTCGTGTTTGTTTTTTCATGAGATTAGATGTCTGGAAATGACTATTTTTAATAAATCCAATGTTTGGTTGAATGGACTGGATGAGGATAAAAGAGCAAATGACTATTTTACCCTTTTCTCAATTGTTTACTAAGTAATAGCAATATTAAATATGTCTTTAAATTTAATCTTTATTTATAATTGATTAGTGGATCACAATTAATTGTTTAATTTTTTCAATGTTTCAAACAAACATTTCTCCAATAGTTATATTTTTAATGGTCACATTCTTTCAATATAAATATGACCATTTCCCTTCTAATTTTTATCCAACACAAAAAAATATATTTTATTTTATTTTTATTAGCAAAAAAAATAACTTTATTAATGCATAGAATGAACAAAGCATAAATACATCAACAAAGAAAAAGAGTAAACAGCACACACCCAAAAACCAAAAGAACATAAAACAAAAGTTGAAGAGATTTCAACAAAAAAACCTTCACACCCACAGCTTAAAAGCAACATACCAACAGCATCACGCAACACACTAACAACAATATGCAACACATCAGCACTTCCTCATCACACCAGTAAATCCACATAACACACCAATTACTAATCATCCAAATAACAGGACCAACACCACGAATCCAAACAAAAAAGAGTACAACAACCAAAATAAAAACAGCAACCAACATCAAAGTGATATATGTTCATAAAGATGTCAGTAGGTACAAATATTTGTTCCTATAACTAGCAACTTTCAACAACAAAAACAATAGTATCCCATGACTAGATGAGTCAGAGGCACCAAATCATGATATAACAATTTAACCCACAAAATACGATGCTTGACGAAGAGAAAAGGCAACAATTAAGTCTATGGAGCATAACCTAAAAACCAAATATTCCCATCACATGCCACAAGTTTGTTATGGAGCATTCCTACTTAGCAACCTCATTACCCACCTCAGCCTATCATCATGTGTCAAGAAGAACATGTCAAGTTTTTGGACATCATGGAATATGATTTCGCAAGCATCTAACCTTTCATCTACGGTAATTGGCAACTTTGTAAGTTCATCATTTAATGATGCCCATTTTGATGCGACATCATGTGAATACCCCATCATTCTTCCAATGAATTTCAGCTTCTCATTAGTTCTACCCATGACATCAACCAACTTGTCAGCAAACATAGAGAGCTCTTCAACTACATCATCATGGGATCTAGATCTTTTCTTGTCTTTCTTTGTGGCAGAGCTCTCAGAAGCCCGCTAAGTTGCTGAGTTTGAACAATACATTCCTTCACCAATGCGACTATTTTTTTCCATCTGTTCAAGAAAAGTGTCATTATCTATAAGGCCATGCAACAACACATCTTTCTCAGCATTCATAGCCTCAACTGCATTAGCAGGCCCTTTGGCAAACTCCTCTGTAGCTCGATCCTTGCCAAATATTTGAATACATTCATCGAAATATGGGAAAGTTTTGTTCCTCAGGTGTTTTGCATCGGTGTCCCTCTGTAATGACCAATTAATCCCAGTTAATATAGAAAAGTGCATTTCAAAAAGTAGTTACATAAACATGTAGCAATTAAAATAATAATAAAAAAAAAGTATCTACATCATGGTAACTTTACCCAAACATATGCCTCCCATATACTATCATTCTCCACATCGATTCTTTTTTCAGTGTTATTCCATTCAAACCCACTAGTAACAAGCACACCGGACACAGAATTATAGTGTTTCTTCCATATTTTAATTTTTGATTCAATATGGGGAGAGCCACGTAAGTCTGTCCCAGGTAAGATATCCGCCAATTTAGTTTTCAGTCTCACAAGATAGCCCGCCTTGAAAACATTGTCAACTTTCACTCCTTCATTGACAATGGACACCAATGTTGAAATTAGAGCATCCTCTTCACGTGGACTTCAAATTCACCTTTTTTTTTATGAATCAACCTTGTCATTCTTTTTCTTACGAGAACTGGATACCTCATTATCCATGCCTAAAGTAATCATTCAACATTTCATATGCATTATAATAAATCACGAATAACTCAAAAAACTATCATTCAAATAATTCGACATCCACATTGTCAGATATTAATAAAAATACATAGCAATGTCATATTACAAATTTAAATGGTTTAACAACAAATCAAAGTAGAGAACAATAGTAATGAAAATAAACACAAAACAATCCTCATCCAGCCCCCCCACTAGCTAACCAATCGTTGTACAATTGCACTGCAAGTGTACCCCGCCACACAGTCCACTCATTAGATGTCTCAACAGTATCAATGAAATCATCTCCCATTGGCAATTGATTTTCTTCATCATCATTGTCATCCTCTATAGGGTCAACTACCATCT